CCAGGGTCCAAAACAAAAGCCTGGTCTGCTGGGGGGGGGGCACACTAGCTGCCGCCCCCCCCAGCAGACCAGGGACACGGGAGCAGAGCCGCAGCGGCAGAGGGGTGCCGCGCCTCTGAGGCTTTGCTCTGACAAAGTCTCAGAGGCGCGGGACCCCGCCGCGGCTGCAGCTTCAGTCCCGGTGCCTGTGGTCTGCTGGGGACTGTCTCCAGCAGACCAGGGGCACCGGAGCATCTTACGAACGGGGCTCTTTCGCCCCGGAGCTCGCAGGTAGCAATCCGCCACCTCGACCTCCGGGGCGAGAAAGCCCCGTTCCTAAGTGCGGATCCGACATAAGTCGGATCCGCGTAAGCCGGGGACTGCCTGTACTTACTTCTACTAACACAGAATACACACTTTAACAAAGCAAAACAAACCAACCAACCAAACCCCTTCAAGTCTTACTAGATCATTGCTCAAGAAGATCTACTTGAGATGTTTTGCTAATACTATTGTCAATATTGTCAACACACTGTTTAATTCTACAGTTATTGCCAATATCCTCCACCCAGCCATTTTCTTACAGGATACTTAGTAATTTGTGTTATATGACCAATGTTTAATACCTCTAAAAAGATTCACATTTCAAATGTGAACAACTACCACCACCATGCCCATGAAAGGTAGTCAGACCAAAAAAAAAAAAAAAAAAAAACCCCCACAGTCCCCCAAACTACAGGCTTACGATACTTTAGCAATATGTTTAAGCATCACCGAATCTTCACTTTTCACCTGTAGAGACAGAGTCTTTATGGCTCAAATATACTCTCACACAACAAGCACACTATGGGTCTGACTGTCATTTACATTAAGGGTACTTAACAATGCTTGGAAGTATAAAGGAGCCTTGAATACTCACAGAAAGTTAACCAGCCCTTGTCAGTGAATTCTACTGGCAGCCAGTTGTACTGGACTGCAAAAGTCCTGGCTGTAGAGTGGCCAAGAGACAGATGGTGGGACCTCACAGGAATGGCAGTGGGCTGGGTGGCCAGCCGTGAGTTAAAATAGTAAGTTGGTTAACAGTTGTAACCTTAATCCACACTTTTCAAACTCATGGGCATTAAGTGAAATTAAAACTTCCTCAACATGATGTGGTTTAAAGACGCTTAACTTTTTTGCTGTTTATTTTAAAATATCCATAATCGTGAGATGATTTTGCTGATGCTTCAGGGTGGAGTCAGCACTATCCTGTCAATATGGCCATGGGAAGAACAGCCTGGAAAATATCTAATGTAACACAGTTGTGAAAGGAAGGTATTGAGGCCTACCTAGCATATGTCAAATGAGCACCAGTTTAATTGTAAGTGTAAAGGAAAGGCAGCATTGTGAGATACAGGAGATAAAAATAAAAACAAAATTTGATTAGATGACCAACGATAACCCTGCTTTTAGGGAAGTAAGTAACTCAGACAGCAGTATGCAACAAAGTGCTGATTACCCCAAATGGAGCAGACGAAAGTTTTTGTAAGGGCAGAATGAGACAACAAAAATCTAACGTCAGCAACTGTCAGGTGAGTGAAGGAGTACCAAAATACCGAAACAGGGTATATAAAGGTTGGCTGAAACAGATCAAGAGCGGATGGGTTGCGAATCCAAAAAGCTAGGTCTGATCAACCAGGGCTCTGTCCCCGGCACTGAATCTCGCTGCCGAACATAAGCTCCGAAAGGGGAACAACACTGGTCGTAAGTTGCAACGAAAAATCCAAAGAAAGGAAAAACAAAGAAAAGAATATCTCCTGAATCTAAGCAATGCTTCTATCTTTCTTAACGTGAGTATTATATATTTGTTAACTCCATAAGTTGTTTAAAGGTACATCAGGTAGGTATATCTGTAAGAGAAGTTATTATTTCTTGTTTTTTTTTTAACTGTACTGTTTTTCTACTTTTTCTTTGTATATTATATTGTCTTAAAAGAATCAAAAATAGTAAATTGATTTAAATAGAAAATTAATTATAAAGTAAATAAAATAAAATAAAAAAATCTTTGTTTGACCCTAAAAAGAAGTATTCCTCTGTCTGTGGTTTCAAATCCTTTAAAGAATCAAACCCGGTTACCGAAAACAGTTTGGGTGGGAAGCAGAAGTGGAAGCCATAGCAATTTATAGCAATATAAATACCAAGATTCTGCAAAAAGGCTTTCCCACCCTGCTCCCCAATATAAGTCACAGGAAAGGGAAAATAGTTTCCTCATAGGTACAGAGTAAAGGAATATTTCTTATTTATATTCTCATTTATACCAGAACAACTGCACTGCCTTGCATCTTGGACCAGTGAGCGTTAAGGATCCTCACTTGGACACATCTGTACTGAGAGTGTGGTGATCAACTATGAACTTGCAAGGAAGTGGAGAAGCAGACTCATTAATACTGGTACAGTTACACTGGCGTAAAGAAAAAATCCTGGGAACCTTCTCCTCTCAACTTTCCAGCCCCCCCAAAAAAAGACAAAAAAAGGACACTCATTCCACCCAACAATTATATATACAAGTACAACCCTCTAAATACAATGGCTCACAGCCCATGTGCAACTCCTCTAACTTAATGCAATAACAATAAGTCAGGGATGGTACTTGGTCCTGCTGTGAAGGCAGGGGACTGGACTCGATGACCTTTCAAGGTCCCATCCAGTTCAAGGAGATAAGCAATCTCCATTATTAAACACCAGACGTCCCAGACAGAGGCTTTGTGAACATTTAAGCAAAACTAGAAGCGAGTTCAAGGGGGGGGGAGCCCAGGGTTTCTAATCTCAAGTTCCTCTTCCTCACAAGCAGGGACAGTGCAACACAGAGAAGAGATCTGCAAAAGAATCAGCAGCGGAGGGGGAACAGCAACAGCGAACTAGCCCTTTGCAGGGTCTGGCAGGCCCGCCCCAGCCAGTCGGCACAGCGAGGGCTTCAGGTAACAAAAACCTTCCCC